TTCTTTGTGGCGCTAAGAGCCATGGTTTAGTGGTGGACTTGGCAGTGCTGGGTTAGCGGTTGGATTTGATGCTCTTAAGGGTCTTTTCCAACCTAACCAATTCTATGGCTCTATTTTATGATTCTAAGATACAGTGTTTGATCTTGCTGAACTGCTTTGTTTTTTCCTTCCTAGTAAGGCCTGCCTCACCTAGGAAGTGAAGCTTTGCAAGTACTTTAGGATGGACCAGCTCAGGGCTTTCAGCAAATGGCTTGCCAAGAACTTTACCATGCTTACTGATACATGCATGACTGATTTACAGTTTTAACAGTATTGTTTCTTTTCTGGTTTGTAACTAGCATGGGGGTTGTAAGTTTCTATGATTATAGAGTAAAATTTACACCCAGCCCCTCTTACAGTTTACCCATAGCTTGTTTCAAAAAGTAAAGAAAACGATAGCCTAGCAAAAAGGAATAGATAGCAATGGCATTCTTCAGCCTACTGAGCACTGCTCCAGGGCAGAGGAAACTAAAATAGGACAGAATTTGCCCTTGGAATCTGCACAGATATTCCACAGACAGAGATGAACTGCCTGCTTGTGCAGTGAATTGGGTGTCATTGTCAGTACATCACCAAAGGGAGGAGACTGGGAAGAAGATCCCATCTCGCATGCGAAAGATTAGTCCTTTTCCTTGGGCGATGATAAGAAGAGTGTTAAGAGCTAACTGGCTAACATTTTCATGAGTATTTCAAGCCTGGAACATACAATTTAATGCTCTGAATAATACTGGACACAGCTCTCTAATTATATCTTTATCCCCAGAACTTCTCTTGAACTGATGAATATCTTCTCGCAAGCTGTCCATCCTCATTTTAGAGGGTTTGGGTGATAGCAAATATGTTTCCTCTCTGGATAAATTGCCTCCTTGTTAATTACGGGGTCTGTTGAAACTTTGTGCTTTATTTCTAATCTGAAGAGCTCTAGTTTTAACTTCCAACCATTTAATTGTATTACAGCATTTTCTGTTCTGTTCAAGAAGTATCTGCCTGCAGATTCCTCCTCATCTTTTGAATACATTGAGCAGAATGAGCTCATTATGTCTCCCAGGACAAGGCATGCTTTCGGACCTCAGATCATTTGTTTAGCTCTCTTCTCAGCCCTTAGCACTTTTGGGGAGCCTTCTGTAGATGTAAACCCTTGCAGCGAGCACAGCATTGGATGCAGACCCTACCGGTCCACTGGTTTCAGCACATCACAGAGTGTTCCCTTGCATCTGCACCAAGAAGTGGTGCTTGCTCCCCTTGGCTTTCCCATAGGAGCTCAGATTCAGTCTCTTCAAGGTGCTCCTGGTAGCAGTCACAGAAGAGGCTGAGCTGGTCTATACTGGGAAGTCACTGCAGCGGTGGCAGAGCGGGCAGGAGGCAGGAGCATGGCCAGGTCTATGCAGCATCGCACCCAGCCCAGTTAGCTGTGCTGAGGTTTCCCTTTAGAACGTCTACTGAGCTTTGCTTGCCTAGACCCCCGCAGTGTGTGGCCGAGGTACCTGCGTTTGGGGTTTGGTGGTGGCAATGGCTTGGCTGCTCCCAGCACTGCAGTGAGTGAAGTGGGAAGGAAGCAGGTGAGCTGTCAGATCGCCTCAAAACCACTGTGAATTTATGCATTTACATTGCATGGGCTTAGATGCATGGGCTGTGTTCAAGTGGTCAGAATACAGTAAGATCTGGAGTGCAGGGACTCATGCCAGGCTGCTACACTCATCAGCTCAGTGCTGGTTATTCTTTACCTGGAGTGCTGATGCACATACTGCAAAGCTCTCTTCCCAATATATGCTTCAAATCTAAAATGAGCAATGGAATAGCCCCTCCAAATAGGGATATGCCATTCGGGAAGGCTGTATGCTGCGTCCAGCACAGCACCAGACTTGCTTTAATGACAGCCTACAGTGATGTTACTGGCAGAGATGCAAGACTGTTGCATTTTGGGTTTTGAGCTCCATAGCCTCTTCAGGAAATTAAAGCATATGTGGGTCTTTCTCCCCTGGGATGTTTAAGGTAGCCGGCTGTAGGCATGGTGATAGAGGCTGCAAAGGTTCAGAGAATTACCTTGATTCAATGACAGCATCTTCCATTTTGACTGCATTCCAAGGCTCATTTTTCCTCAGAGGCATTCATTGAAATTCTGTGCGTGATTTGTTCCTCTGGTTGTTTAACAATGTCTCTCATGTTTGCCCTGATTTAAAAACTCCTCCTTTGTAGCAGAGATAACATAGAGCAGGATGGCATAATTGCAGTAAAGAGGCCCTGGAGCTTGCAGTAATAGGGTGGTTCATCTGATGTGTACTGCCATTAGAAAATAACCCACGTATGTATGTTCTCAGGGGACAGTAAAGAGGCTTTTAAGGATTACACTTTATGTAGTATGAAAGCTAATGAGCAAAAGAGCAAGTATGAAGCAAACTATTGCTGCAGAAAGCATGGTGCCACTTCCTGCTCTCACTTGTTTCCTGGCACTGGTGTCCAGCTCCAAAATGCCCACCTCTGCCCAGCAGTGCATGGCTTTTCATGTGCTGTGGTCAGTTCCCAAGGCTGATTGCATGTCAAAAGCTTGGCAGAGCTGACTCGAGGATTGAAACTACTGTGTGTGGACAAGATTAGTAATTCTGGGGGAACAGTGATTTCTTATGGGCTGTGCACTGAAAACTCTTCCCTGTGAGGGTGCTGAGGCGCTGGCACAGGGTGCCCAGAGAAGCTGTGGCTGCCCCATCCCTGGCAGTGTTCAAGGGCAGGTTGGACACAGGGGCTTGGAGCAAGCTGCTCCAGTGGAAGGGGTCCCTGCCTGTGGCAGGGGGTTGGAGCTGGATGAGCTTTAAGGTCTCTTCCAACCCAAACCACTCTATGACACCATGATGACGTTTCTATCACTAAAGTCATGGTAACGCAATCATATTTACTAGAGGTAACAGAGGGACTTCGCTCTGATTGACTCTAGCAATGTCCTCCTGGGCCTGTGCATCACGGTCCAACTCTGCGAGCCCAGACCCAATGTTTGATTGCATCTCCCAACTTAGCATCACTTGATGCATGGCCCACCGTCAGCCATTCATTCCAACATCTGGGACTTGCTTTGACGACCACATGTGACACAAGATGAATTATCTGTTGCTGCTTCTGCTGTCAGTTGACTCCTCTCTGCTTAAACTGTGTCTTGCAAATACCAGAATAGTAGTGCTAAATCTTTTATTTCTGTCCTTTCTCTCCCTCCCCATAATTGGTGCACAGGAGCAGAAGAGGACTTGTAATTTTATTATTGCTGCATAAGCCTTCTGGAAACTCAGTTACAGCACTTCTGATGTTGGTAATTTTTGTGACTAAAAAAGCTGCTGACGCTGTGTTTGTGCATAGGAAAAGAGCAAATCTGAATGTATAATAATCTGGTGCATTTGGGAGATGTTTGATGCTATATCCCAGCCAAGTTAATCACTCGTGGAATTAATTTATCCTTTTTTTCTGCTCAGTTGACCAGAGGCATTAATCTCATACCCGAGGAAAAGCATCTTTAATGCCAAAACATTGACCAGAGATGCCTGGCATTCCTCTGGCCTCAGGGAGGTTTGGAAGGGAAGCTGTCAGTTGCCAATGGGCTGGCAGAAACAGAGGCATTCCTTACTTTATTTTTCTTACACAATGAAGAAATACCCAGGTGATGCTCTCCAGTTTGTGCAGTATATTGGGCTGTGTGCTGTAGTCATGGGTATCAACGGAGCGGACGTGACATGCATTTTTCATACAGCACAGCACAGCGTTGCTCCTTCTGATAATTCTTCTTTGCCAGATACTTGCTTGTTCTGAGACCATCCCCACAGGGCTAGCAGCGCGCTGCATTGCTGCGTGCTAAAAAATAAAGGGCACAGGATGTCTCAGAGAGAAATTATTCATGGACTTGTAGTGCCTGTGCCTGGCTGCATTTTTCAAGGATGGAATCTTTCCCCCTTTTTTCCCCCTTTTTCCCCCCTTTCCCCCCTTTTCCCCCCTTTCCCCCCTTTTCCCCCTGTTTTTCCCCCTTTCCTCCCTTCCCCTCTTTCCCCCCTTTCTTTACCCCTTTCTTCACCCCCCTTTCTTTACCCCCTTCTTCCCCCCCCTTTCTTCCCCCCTTTCTTCCCCCCCTTTCTTCCCCCCCTTTCTTCCCCCCCTTTCTTCCCCCCCTTTCTTCCCCCCTTTCTTCCCCCCCTTTCCCCCCTTTCTTCCCCCTTTTCCAGACTTTTTCTGCAAAATCCCCCATCTCTAAGTCGCAGCATCCCCCACCAGCCCAATTCCACCCAGCAAGGCCCATTCTCAGGCTAGAGAGTGTCGCTGCTGAGCAGCTCACTGCCCAAACTTCATTTCCCGTCCATGCTCCTGCCTCACTCGCACATCACCCTGCCCTCCCCATCATCCAGACTTTGCCCATTTCTCACTTAGTCCTATGCAAGCAGAAAACCTGCACTGTTGTGGTGACTTTGGACCCAGAGCCAGTCTGAGGTTGAAGCAGAAGCACCAACTTCTCATCCCTGCGCAGTCGTTTGTGTGTCAGCAGCGTTCCCAGCAAGCAATGGGGAGGACCAGACACTCCTCAGTTGATGGTTTTCCTCTTCTGCCAAACACAAAACTAGTAGGGTGGGAAATGCTCTCTAATAGTATAAAAAGCCCTTGCCAAATAGGAATCAATGAGTATACAGATGTCCTCCTTGATTAAATAGAGCCTTCTCTGTTTACATGATGCCCGGGAGCTGTGTTACCATAAAGGTAACAGGGTAAGAGAAAAAACGTGGCCTGAAAGAAGACTGCCAGATTAAACTGTGAAGGCCAAATAAGCTCTTACTTATTCCCCTTCCATTTTCACTTCCAGTAATGCTTCAATAGAAACAGCAACTTTCTGATGAATGTGGGGAGAAATGATGGGTTCACGTGCTGTTCCTTGGGACAGTTTTAATCTTGCCCCTCGAAGCAAACAGGACCTTTGAAGATGCCTTATCTTCTTCCAGGTTACCAGCCTGTCCTGCCGAACCAGCAGCAGGGGTTCCAGGGTCTCATGGGAATGCAGCAGCCACCCCAAAGCCAGAACCTGATGAATAATCAACAGGGGAATCAGGTGCAAGGCATGATGGTGCAGTATCCAGCCATGTCGTCTTATCAGGTACTTGGGGGGGCCCTAAAGGAAGACTGCTTTTCTTGGGAGTGCTTAATTCAATCAAGCTCTCATATCACAGAATGGTCTTATTACTTCATTAGGGCAGTGTGTGGCAGCTGGGTAAATGGGTTTCTTTGCTTCCTGTTTGTGTATTCCAACTGCTCCCAGTTTTCATTCCGAGCTGGGAATACTTCAACTGAACTATTCCTTGCAGCCTGCAGTGCAGGTAGAGCATCACAAAGGATGAAGGAGTTCTGCTTCTTCCTGGGAAGAAAGTGAATTTGAAAGGAAGTAAAGACAAAGCATCGCTGTTGGTTTGATGTGGGGTTTTTGGTTGGGGTTCTTTTTTTGCCAGTGCAGTATTGTTTCCTGTAAGGAAGCTGGAGGCTTTCCTGAGCCAATAAGAATTACTCATATGGGGAGAGTCCTGCCAAGGATCTCGCCGTGCCTCCTATAACAACCTGTAGCCAGATAGAATTCTGTTGTTTGGGGCTGAGGAGAGGGAAGGCATTGGCTTGATTTTTACCCAGCTTTTGTACCGGGTTTCTGTGAGGTGAAGAAGAGCCTGTGAGCGGGAGCCTGTGCTTGTGTTTCCTGCTGCTCCCTCTGGGAATTTAAGACTGTGAACGGCATCAAATTTATTTGAACAGACTGCACTGGCTGAGCAGCCTTTCCCCCGGCTGCTCTGAAAACACTGCAGCACCCCGGGTGGAGATGGGGGACTTGCTTGTGGGTAAAATTTCCCCCTTACATCTCCAGGATTGCCACGTTGAAAATGTGTTTTAAAGGCTGATGGCCACGTTAAAGGGTTTAGACCTTTTAGATGGCCTGGGTACAACAGGCTTGAGTCTTCTGCTTGCACTGATCCCAGAAATCCATATTCAGCTGCACCATGACAGACCAGGTAGCAGAAGGATTTCTCCTGAGCCCTTCTCTAACATAATCCTTGGGGTGAGAACAGTTCTGAGCAGCAGACAATGACACTTTTTGGCAGAGCATCTTGTACGCTGAAGCTCAGCTAGAAGGAAGGGAGTAGAAGGGAATACATGGGACCTACTGTCATTTCGTTAGTAATCACTCTTGTTTCCTACGTCCCTTATTCCTGCCTAGGTGCCAATGACCCAGGGTTCTCAAGGATTGCCACAACAATCATACCAACAACCAATCATGCTACCTAATCAATCAGGTCAAGGGACACTTACAGCCACTGGAATGCCTGTCTACTGTAATGTCATACCTCCTGCCCCACAGAACAGCCTACGGCTGATCGCCCCACACTGCCCCTCCAATAACGTTCCAGTTATTTCTGCCAGCTGCAGGACAAACTGTGCGAGCATTAACAGTGCAGGCTGGCAGGTCAAGTACTGACACTGGCTCCGTGTGGATATACGAGGGTAGTGGTGCATTACCTGACTAACAACTCATGGCCTTCAAACGAAGAGGAACACAACAGGATAATCAGTTGAGGACAGAGGTACTGACTATGCTCAAGTGATTTGCTGCTGGAAAAACCTGTAAAAAACCTAAAAATATAATAAATTTTGAAAAAAAAAAAAGAAAAAAAAAGATGTTTGCTGGTTAATGGTGCATATTTTTGTCATGTCTGCTAGGTATGCCTTTATAGCTTAGCTAGTGACATGAATTCATTGAGGTAAGATTTTTTCCTACCACTGAACACCACTGTGTAGATTGTAATATCCCCGATTCGGATTAGTTTTGTACTTTGTGTTGAGTTTGTGAAGCTAAAAGTATTTAAAAATATAAGAAAATCACATTGTACCAAAGCTGTAATGGAAATGGTAAAATAAAAGAAATTAAAAATAAAAAAAAAAGAATTACTGAATGGAAGGAATAATTTATATACACTATAGAGGGTTTTTTATGGATATATACTGTATTGTAGTGCTTAATCACAATAAAGCTATTTGACCTCATGGAGAAAGGTCATGTTTCTACCACCTGCTTGGTCTCCTCTCTGTTTCTGAGTGAGTGAACTTCCCTTTGGTTCTGCATTGTCTTGCGGATTAATGGTTATTGGGCTGATAGGAGTTTGGTGAGAAGGTGATGTACCTGCATCTCAGCATGCAGGACCATAAGAGCTAAGACCACTGCAATGTAGACACTAAAAAAGTGTTCAGTGCAGCATGTACCAGATCACCTTCAACTAAGTTTGTGCTCTTCCAGTCCCTAGGAGCTGTAATGTCACAAACACAATTCACCAATGCTGCGAGCCTCTCCTAAGTCATGCCTGTCAAAGAGGCCATATAACAGTTGTATCTAAGAAGACAAAGGACTGGCTGGAAGATCAGTTGCTATTGATGTAGCACAGTTCTCCTGCCATGTTCTCCTACCATACTCGACCCAGTTACTGATACTCCAAGTATAAAGCCATTTTGCAGCAAAAAGATAGCTGCAGGTAGCTTGTCCATCATGTTCAAGTGGTGGGGATGAACAATGTCTTTGTGTCTTAAAACAAGCAGCACAGTGGATGGCCAGGAATTTTTAGAACTTTGCTTTTATTTCCTGTGTCATTTCTCATTATTATGTCCGTGTTCACTCCAATTCCCAGCCTGTGCTGATAAATTATTCTTCATTCATAAATGCTGCATGGAATTCCCCATTCTGCTTCAGTGATGGCAACATCTGAGTCCCAAATGTGTTTGCCAGGCAAAAACCTATGTTGTTTTTTCGCCTGAGCTGCAGTTTTGATCAGTTTTAAACACCTTTAAAACACGAGTTGAGCACTACAGAACTACACAGGTGTGTCATGGAAAAGCCTGAGATCCTTCTATGTGTGAAATCTCTATGTGTGATAGTACAATTATAGGTGGACACAAGATGACGGCAGCCTGCAAGGCTGTTGCTCATTGTTAATCTGAATGAGAAACAGGTTTTACTTTACTTTTAATGATGGGTGGCTTTTCCTTTGCACACTTCTGCTGTTGAAGTGGAAGAGCTACTACCCATAATTAAACCCAACATATTTCTTTTCAATGCAATGAACAGGTACCCTCCAGAGTTCAGTCTTTTTTTTTATATATGTGTCTCAAAGTGTGGAATCCAGTCCTATGGGATTATAAGAAACACTGAAATATATGTAGTGTAATCACATCATTTCCTATGGGGCAGTCAAGAACACGAGCAGGTAAGTCAACACAATTCACTCCTCAATTAGATGTGAAATGCTTTGGGAGAGCCTACTGATTTTCCTTTTATAAATGGACATCCTGCATTTGAATTTTGCCTATGACCCTGATCTCTTGTTTCAGATGCCCTGCACTGTATGGCTTATTTCCTTTTAATGTTTTATATATTATGGAGGTTTCTGTCCTATAATGACACATCATGGGGTTGTTGCTGCCGAATGACTGACAGCTGATTGAATGGGTATCCTTCTCCATGTAGGTGCCAGAGTCCAGCAGGAAGGACCTGCAAGTGACTTGGTGCAGGCCAGGTTGTGTGTAGCCAGGCTGAAGGAGAATGGAGGGAGGGCAACCTCTATGAATGCAGTGTCTGGAGAGAAGAGACCCATTGCTAATCACTATATTTAGTTCCCATCTCTTCTCTGAAGCACTGCTGTTACCTTATTGATCTCCCTTCTTGTCAGAGAGCTATGAGTGAATTGTCTGGTGAAAAAAGTCTGCTCTCAGCATCATCAGTCAATGGCAAGCTGGGCTGTAGATAGTCTCAGTAGTGATGGGGAAGGGAGTCAAAAAGCAAGTAAGGAGAGCATCTCCCTCCTCGCATCCTCGTGCCACTCCTGGTCATGTCCCCTTGGCAAACAGCATATCCCATGACTGACCATGGTCTTGACAATGGTGATGGCCACACACAGGCTCCCATGACTTACCTGTCTCTGCACTTCAATGACCAGCTTGTGTAAAGCCCATAGGTGGCTGTGGGAACAGGGATGCTGCTGATTGACGTCTCAGCCATGTGGCAGCAGCTCCTGCCTGCACATTAGTGCACATTCTTGCTAAAATGAGACATTTTTAGGTGAAATTGAGCAGTTTCAGGAGAAGGTCACAGCCATCCACCTCAGCATGGCCTACATCCTCTGATTGTCTCACTCTCCAAAGAGTTTGAATCTCCTTAGGCATATGAGGAAACTGAATTCGATCTCCCTCAGCTGTAGAGAGTGCCCTAATTATTCAGGTATCACATACATGGGGGAGAATCTCACGTGGTGGTGCACAGATCTGCTTTGTGCTGAAGAATTTATACTGGAAGGCAATGAAGTAATTCTGTGCCTATAGCAAGTGAAGCACAAAAATTATTCCTTGTTTTTTTTTAATCATACGATATTTTCATGTCTTTCTCCTAAACTTTTTGTTCATTGATAGAAGTTTTCTGAGCTGGACTGCTTGGTTAAACCAGAGGTGTTTCAGCATCGTCAAAAGGTGAGGAGTTAAAAAGGAAGTGACCTGCAAATACATGCAACAAAAACTGGTAGGTGAAGCTCAGCACATTGTTCTCAGTGCTTTGAAATCCTTTATAGCACGCTCCGTAAGAGGAGAGCTGTCACACTCACCTGGCCCAACTTAGTTCAAGCAGCTTGGCAATAGGTTGCCTTGGATCCAGCGTCCACCTCATAGCAGTGATGTACAGGACGTGCTCTTCTCCTTGTTTTTCTCTGCTCTTCCCCTGGAATTGGGCATGCTCAGCCCTGTTGCAGTGCTAGGGACTGTGTGCATTTTCCTTTTACCTGCTCCATACTTGTAGTGCTTTCTCCTTTTCTATATGCTGAAGCTGATGGAATGCTCTCCCAAGGCCCTGCACAGACTTAATTTGCCACTGTTCTTTTAAAGTACATTGCACTTAGAAATGGAAGAGGCGTATCCTGAACTAAGCTGCCTGCATCAGTTGACACTATCAGCCTTTTAGGTGGGTCTAATTCACTTGGGCTGTAATTTGCAGAGGCTGTACATCCTAATAGAACCCAGATGCCACTTGCTATTGTCTTGCCCTTTGTGCTGCCCGAGAAGTCAATGATTTCCTTCTAAACCAGCATTCCCTTATGTTTCTGCTTAGCTCTGTGTGAACAGCTTCCTTTACTGAAGGAAGACTGCATGAATTACCCCAGCAGAAAGGAATGGAACTGCATGGCGAGGCTGTAGCATGCCCAGAGCCTCTTGCTCTCTGCCCCATTAGCTGCTGTGCAGTGTGGCCCTGGCTTAGCCATTGAGTGCTCCAGCGCCACTGTTGGCTGGCATTCCCTAAAGTGATGCAAAGCACACACTGGTCAGTGTCCTTTCAGCTCGCAGGGCTGTTGAGCTACGGCACATGCTGACCCTTTGGGCTATATAGTGATAGCTCTGTTCATCCTTGGGTTTTTAAGGAATAACTTTGGGGGCTGCAGATTTAGGAACATAAGTCAAAACCTCTTTGCCTTGAATGCTGCAGACACAAAAGGCAGTGATGGGAAGGAAATGTGAGTAGAAGACATATGCCCCCCCCAGTACAGATATTATCTCCACTGAGCTCTACTGGATGCCTCCCAAGAGGAACACTTTAAAAGGGCCTCTTGGAGCGCTGTGTATCCGGAGATAAAAAGCAGACTTCACAGCTCCTAAGGCTACCTGGGCTTTTTAACCCTGAGGGTGAATCATAGGGGGGTGAATCAAGGCACTTGCCATACCCAGGTTTTGCTTGCACTTTTATGCCAGATCCTCCCCGCCATCATAAAAACCTGCTTTTATCTACATGGCAAACAGCTGAATGGGAAATGCTTTAGTAACTTCTGTTGTTGCAGGTACATGGTAGGAAAACCAAGTGAATCGGTAGTAGACAAAGCTGGAAGTTTTCTGCTTGGCTCCTGTTAACTGTGATTTCACCGGGATCAGTTCTCATTGCCAGGTGGAACACTGGGGGCAAAGGGCTCCTGTGCATGCATATGTGTAGCTAAGAACTTTCAAGATGGAATAAAAAGGATTGCTTGTTTTTTCCTGAAGCATTTCATTTAAAAACAGAGGGTTTACAGAATTCCCCGTGAACCTCGCGCTCCCGTTTTCCACGCTCAGGGTTGCTGATTCATTGAAGGCATGATTAGTCATGGGACGGTGGTGTCAGGAGGTGGGTGGTCACTGTACAGTCCTTTGATGTGCAAACCTTCATGCAGTTATGTGCACAATAAATGGTCTTATCTAGGAGCCAAGGAGGGAAGAAAAACCCTGAGCTTTAAATGGTAAATCTGGACAAATTCTGCCTTTCAGATAAAAAAGCTCCTCAAATACATTAGGGGATATTTGCACAGGGAAAAGAAAACAAATCACTGTCGGTGCCTCACCCTGCGCCATCCATTGTAGAGGCAAGGGTATCACACCTGTAAGTGCTGGATGTCTGTAAGCTTCCTGTAAACAGCAGTTTAGAGCATGCACACAAACCCTCTCAGTTAATCTCATTAGCAGGAAGTAAAACAGAGGCCAGGGAGCATCCAGAATCTCCCTGACCCATATTTTCAGTGAGAGCCAAGGCCTGACCCCCCTTAAGCTTGAGGTGAGGTTTCTCTCCTGTGGAGCAAACCAGACTGAATTTGCATGGAGCTCACACGTGGCACTTGAACCAAGCTCCTGCTTGCATTAATGGCCACTCTTTCATTTTGTTTCATCTGTACAGATGAAACACACAGCGTGCTCTAATTCAGAGCTGCTTCAGGCATCCACAGCCCTGCTTCCTACTGGGTGCATAAGCCTGTTGGGCACCATATTCCCATGACTATGGGCTATGCACAGCTTGACACTTAGAATCATAGAATGGAATCATAGAATAGTTAGGGTTGGAAAGGACCTTAAGATCATCCAGTTCCAACCCCCTGCCATGGGCAGGGGCACCTCACACTAAACCATCTCACCCAAGGCTCTGTCCAGCCTGGCCTTGAACACTGCCAGGGATGGAGCATTCACAACCTCCCTGGGCAACCCATTCCAGTGCCTCACCACCCTCACAGGAAAGGGCT